ATTTTAAGGACTTGTCTGGAGAAAGCTGAGCCAGAAGTCAAGTGGTTTTGATTTTAGCTGCTGTTTTACACTGCCCATGTCCAGGTGGTATGTGGTGCAATCAGATCACTTCAAATGCATCTTTTGGGGTGCTACTTTGCCTTATAAATCTAACAATAGAAAGACTGATACTCCGTTTGATCCTCGGGTTTGTGTGTGTGTGTGTGTGTGTGTGTGTGTGTGTGTGTGTGTGTGTGTGTGTTGCTTTAACTCTCTCTGATCTGTCTAAATCTTGTGTCTTTCTGCATGAAGAAGTTGCATGTGTGTTGCGGATGAGGGCACAGCAGGGACAGTGCTCATTAAGACTTAAAAGAAGAAAACCAATCAAGGGCAGTTGCATATCCTTTCCATAAAGCTAGGTTTAAAATTTCAATTTAGTTTAACCAGTGTATTCCACAACATTTTTTGTACTGAAGAAATGACAAGTAATCTATACGTCTAACCATAATGAATTCACCTCTCCCTCCCTCTCGCAGGATCTTGAATGCCCATGAAAACACACAACATGCAGATTTAAAATACTCAGCCCAAAGACTTGTGCAGAAGAATTTAGATCATATTCCATCCTCAGATCCAAGCAGTAAAGTCAAGCTTTCATTAGGCATTAAAACTTGAAAAAATGGCACAGGCTATACACTGCCAGATGCTTAGCTAAATATGGGTTTTGCATTTCATAGCTTATACCTTTTGAGGTAGCACACTCCAGCAAATGCAAGAGTTAGTTTAATAAGTCCCAGCTAGGGGTAGACTAGAGGTTGCTATATAAAAGCTGATCCTAATAGTGTATTCCCCAATGTGGTGGTCAAGTGCAGCTGAAGGCTAGACAAGGTTAGAGGGCTCAAACTAGGCAATCAAAAATATTGTTTATCAATCCTTTCCCAACTCAAAATTTCCAGCACTTTGGTCTTCATTTTCCACCTGCTACCACCACTCTCATGCTTTAAAAACACACACGTACATATGCTCGTATGAGCATGTGCTCACATGTACATGCTCACACTCTCAGCCATGCACCCACACATGTGTACTCCTATTACCTGGCACAGCATCCAAATATGATTTTAAGAGTATCCCAATACCTTTGCTTCTAAAATTACATAGATGATTAAACGGATAGCACAGTGAAAGAGCACTAGTTAGCTTTTTGTTTTATTTATGCTACAGTTTTTATTTTTTTAAGGCATAATTAAACAAATATGTACTGCTGTAGTTTTATTGAATACTAAAAGTAAATTAAACTAAACCAACATGCTTTTTGTGGAACCATCCTGATGTGGTTTTTATATACCAGAGAATATCAAGTAATTTGAAACAACTCAATTTCCTGGCATAAGAGAAATCCTGGTACAGCTACAATCACCATAATCAAAATTTTTTGGCTTAGTTTGGTGGGCAACCTCAAAGGAATACGCCCACACTATTCCTAGTCATTTAAGCAATCCCATTATCCTTTTATTTCAAAAGTGCTGAATTCATGGATTTTTTTTTTTTAAATCTCAGTAAGGATTGCTCAGGAGAGGAAAAAAAAGTCAGTTATAAAACCAAGTATTCGTAGGACTAAAGCAACCTGAAAAGTTTTACATTATATGAATTTGTCTTCATGACAAATAATCATCAAAATGACCTTTAGCTTCCACAGAAAGATTAACTCAGAGCGTAAAAGACATTTTCTAAGCTAGAAAATATGTACTTCCTAAGTGTTATAAAAAAAAAAGCTTTATTTATTCCTCTTTAGAAAGAAGGAAGTTATGCATTAAATTAAAACAGAAACATTATGAAGTAGGGAAAAAAAATGACAGCCAAGGCTTCTGCTGTCCCAGTGGGAAATACTGCAAGCAATTGTTGAGAAAAATTCAAATAATTATATGAAAATATACTTCTTGGAGCTTAACACTAAGCAGGTGCCGAAAGTGAGTGAGAGGAAAACTTTAAATCTTAATACTCAATTTATTGCTAGTAAAGAGAGTTTCAAAGCGTTATTAATTGATTGAACAAAACCTATGATTAGGGGTAATTACAGAGATTTTCTCCACACACTATGATTTTGCTGAATTTCTAAGATGATAATCAAGGCTATTATTGTTAATAGACGGGGAAACAATCATATAATGATTTCCATATTTTCTCACAATTGAACTGAGACAAAGTAATCCTCCCTACTCTCCCCCTAAAATAGAAAACAATTGTCCTTGACATGAAAATAAGTTATAGAGGCTGTTTTTAAAAGAAAGTTTGCCTTCATGAAAAAGAAAAAAAGATTTCTATAACACCTTTGACAGTTGCCTGAGGGCTGGCTCTATAACTAAAAACAACTAAAAATTATAAAGATTTTAACTAAAGAAAAGTAAAAAAGATTCAGTGGGGCCTTTACATGCTTTTCTGAAAGGCAGACTACAGACAAGCCTTTATTGTGTTGAAAAAATACATATAAATTTTATGTATTACAATATAATGGTCCAAATCTTTTAAAAATAAATCCCACTATGATAAAAATATTCCTAACAAAGAACCTTTGCAATTTATAGCTAATGACAACAAAATTCCAGTACATCAAAATACTATGTACACTTCTTTGGGATTCAATCAATTAAATATTTACTGGGGACCTAATGTGTGTGCAGCACTACATTAGATACTGAGGGGGAAATAAAACAGAATATGCAGAACTAGCAGAAATTTTAGCCTTCAGAACACTTTTTTACAGCATATATAGTAATAAGAGTCTGTATATACACACCTGCTAGAAACTTAAGTAGGACGTGTGGTCCAATATACTGCTTTTGGGTAGCTGTCTGCCTGCCCTAAACCCTCCAAATGTGTGTGTGTGTTTAGTTTTTTCCCATACAAAAATTTATACATACATTGTTATGTGACCCTAATTGCTCTCCCCATACTGTGACAGCACACTCCTCCTTTCCACTCCTGATTCCCCATATCCATTCAACCAGCTCCTAACCCTCTCTGCCTTCCCATCTCACCTCCGGACAGAAGCTGCCCATTTAGTCTCTTATATCTACTTGAGTTAAGAGGCACACTCCTTATGAGTATCACTTTATGTCCCACAGTCCAGTCCAATCCCTGTCTGAAGAGTTGGCCTCGGAAATTGTTTTAGTTCTGGGCTGATAGAGAAGCCAGGGGCCATGCTTTCCAGGGTTCCTCCAGTCTCAGACAATTAAGTCCAGTCTTCTTACTAGAATTTGAGATCTGCACCCCACTTTTCTCCTCCTCCATCTGGGACTCTCTGTTGTGTTCCCTGTCAGGGTGGTCATTGGTGGTAGCCAGGCACCAAACATGTGTTTTAATATAAGACAGTAGTTCCACAATGACTTTTTTTTACAGCCAAAGCTGTAATTGATCCCTCACATACTGAGATTTACCACCTTTCCTCCATGGAGATAATTGGTCAACCCTCTTTATTACCATTATGTTTTTAAGGAACAATTATGCTTTTTTTTTTTTTTTAACTGACAAAGGTATTCCAGTCCCATCAGGTAAACGATATCTGAATTAGTTTTAAGTTTTTTCAAAAATATTGCACACAAATATTTCCAATATGCTGCATAAGCAATCAAGGCCTGTATCAACATCAAACATTTATTTGAGATGGTGAGGCACTGGAGATTAAATAATGACAATAATAATAAGGCATGGTCCTGACCCCAAAATTCTATTGACAAAGAAATAAAAAGCTGCCACCAATACTGAAAGATGAATGTAAATAAAAGAGAAGTTTCAAAGGAAATGCATTCGTAAAACAATTATAAAACCATTTCTACAGAATAATACGAGAAAGAGAGAGATTGATTTAAAAATATCCTTGCAACCAAGAACTCACCAGCTATCTTTCATAATCTATCCAATATCAGACTATGTAGTACTTTTCTTACAGTAAGTGGTATCTATGGTAAGTTAATTAATGGCTTTCTTTTACACACACACACACACACACACACACACACACACACAACTGTGATACATTCAGAGCCATTTTTTCTTACAAGAATTCTGATGAGATTGTAGTAGTCATTCTGGCTGGGGGTCATTATTGTTCCCAAGGCACGCTGCTACTGCTAAATGCCTTCACAGAAAATGCTGATGATAAACATATGGGAATAGAGACATACCCTTCCTCACTTTTCTCTAGTGGGATTTTCAACACAGATCTAAAGGCAAACTCTGATTTAAATAAGAAATCATTATGATCTAATTTCATGCTCTTTAATCAAGGGAATACCAAATAGCCATAATCTGCTTCTCTAAGCACATGCTGACTCATGTGATTATATACATCAAATATCAGTTCTTACCCTGTTTTCTGATTATCTTCTACTGACTTGTCCTGAGCACTGAAATTTGGAACATAAATAGTATATACTTCTTCCATAGCTCATCAGTTCTAAGACATGTTAAAAGTCATACGATGTTAAGGGATAAATCCAATGGCATGCTATGCCTCCCCATCTTACTAGTAATTTAATGTGAGAAGGTAGAAAAATCTCCATTATCCAAAGGCACAGAAGATCCTTTAATAAAGGCAACAAAGCCAAGCTAATTAGGGAAGGGGAAAACATCATCTAACGGTTCCTAACATTATTTTTTTCTGAGGGAAGGGGGCACACATTACTTTGAGATTATGTTGAGATCTTCTAACCCTTTCCTCAGAAAAAAAAAAGATACACAAAATAAAATAACAACACAGAATTTGTCATATAAATTTCAGAACACACAGCAGCTCCCAGTTAAGGGCTCAGAACCCTGGGTTAAAAACTCTTGACCATAGTAGACATAATTAGAAATAATAGAGTGTTAAGTGTAGCTCCCCAAACTTTATTCCATTTACTGTAACTACCTTGCCTTAAGTTTGTGATTAACCAACCATTCATGCAATTTTATAAAAATAATTTTGATTAGGGTCAAATAAAAACGGCATTAGTAATAATTACACTACAAAAAATACGCACCAACTTTCGCAAAGGCCTCTTTGAGTTCATCAAGCTCATCTTTGGAAATCTGAGTGGCAGCCATCTCATCCATTTAAGGAAGATCTAAAGAAAAACCAAAAATGTTTCAGACTTAAAAAAGTTTGTGATGAATATAATAAGCATTCTTGCTAAATTATTATCTTAGGGATAATTTAAACAGAACAGCAAACTCTAAAATAATTGAAAGCGGTTACCTTACCTGTAGCTGTAGCCATAATAAAGAAATCAAACAAATGAAAAGTTGTCGTTTATCAAGCTATTCAGAAGAAAATATTTCTGAATCTTCCTTCCAAGGACAAAGTCTTAAATTACATCAAAATAGTATAAAGACAGGCCAAGGTACACAGTAATGATAGGAACAGATACATATAATAGACATTGTTGGTTAAATGTGCCCAAGTTAAAAAAGTCAAAATTATATGACCAATGATTTATGTACAATATCATTTTCTATTAAGCCACTTTAAAGTAATTCACTGTGAAAACACTGATTTTCAAATAGAGGACCGCCACCTATCAATCACTCCAATTGAAGGACGGGTAAAGAAGAATCAATTAAATAAATTTATATTTGGATTTGACATGTAAATATATGCAAGTGTGTGCTAATACACATATCCTTGTGCACATAACTTATTATATTATCTGAGGTCACACCTGTTATGAATTGAATTGTATCCCCCTAAAATATGAGTTGTAAATCCTAAACTCTACACCTGTTGTTATAATCCCATTTGGGAATGGAGTATCTTTGTTATGTTAATGAACAGCATTAGTGTAGGGTGTGTCTTAAATCAATTTCTTTTGAGAAATAAGAGATTAAACAAGCAAGCAGAGAGCAGAGATGAGGGAAGAGAGATGCCAATCCACATGAAGATCACCCAGGAACAAAAGCTTAGAAGAGGCAAGGACCTTCCTCTAGAGCCAACAGAAAGAGCCTTCCCCTAGAGCCGGCATCCTGAATTCAGGCTTCTAGCTGCCTAAACTGTGAGAAAATAAATTTCTGTTTGTTAAAGCCACCCACTTGTTGTATTTCTGTTATAGCAGCACTAGATAAGTGAGACAACACCCTTTCCAATTTGGCCCTATTTGACCTATTTAACCAATAGAGCAAGGGTTGGAAAACTTAGGCCCTGAATAAATCTGGCCCAGCTCTTGTTTTTGTCTAGTCCCCAAGCTAAGAATAGTTTTTACAGATGAACATTTGCAATCAATTTTGATAATAGAGCACATTAACTTTGAACCCAATTAAGTGAAATGTTATCCCAGAAACAAATTCCATTCTTCTCATCAGTAGATCTGTATTACAAAATATTACTATATTTTGAATTTTGTCAATAAAAATTTTATGGAAATTCATTTTGTCTCTTGTCATATAAATACCTACAAAATATCCTTGATTTTCCCACTTGGCCCACAATAATTAGTATCAGTACCTTTACAAAAGGAACCCTGGTGGTGGAGTGGTTAAAGCACTCAGCTGCTAACCAAAAGGTCAGCGATTCCAAGCCAACAGCCGCTCCGCTGGAGAAAGATGTGGCAGTCTGCTTTTGTAAAGATTTACAGTCTTGGAAACCCTATGGGGCAGTTCTACTCTGTCCTATAGGGTCACTATGAGTCGGAATTGACTCAACAGCAAAAGGTTTTGGGTTTTTTTTTGGTACCTTTACAAAAAACTTTGCTGACCTCTGCTAATCCCCAGAATAGAAATCCGTTGACAATTTTTGACAGGAGAAAAATTACAATGATTTTGTGTTGCCTTTTCAAAAAGTATTCTACCAATTAAATTTCACAAACTATATAAAATACAAATTTGAGGTCTTACATTTTCCTTTTTGGATATTTTACTAAAAAGTAAACTAGTCACCAACTCATATTTTTGACAATAAACCTAATATTTAGTATAGAGAATTGGGGGTGGGGGCTTCATGAGAGCACCAGGCAGGGCCACATCTATCTTTTTCACAACTGTAGCCATATCTCTACAACTTATCACAGTGCCTGACACATACTAAGCACTCAATAAAACAGTATTTTAATTAATTCATTGATTCAACAACTATGTGCCAAACACCACATTAAATAAACTCATATGCATATTATATTTCACGGAACACTCACAACAGTTCTATGAGGTAAGTATGCTTACATTATTTTTTCTTATGGAGATACCAGGCTCGGAAGGACCATGAAATTGGAATTCAAACTCAGGTTTCTGAAATCCTAGGGAAGTGTTTAAATAATGAAATGATACTACTAGCTAAAACTTCACCATAGTGCAACACACATTTATGATGACTGACATTTTTCAAAATTAAGTAAAAACAGATCTTTAAAAGCTTAGAACTTTTCTTACATATAGTATTAAAATGCCACTAAGCAGGACAACTCCTCAGTAGATAAATTGGATAATAACACCTTTCATAGTTGTCTCAGGATCTATAAAACAGACTACGACATTCAGTTAGATATGGAGATATGCATTTAAAAAATAATAAAAAGAGATTTTTCATAAATGAAGTTGCAACCTAATAATAGTGCTTTTAATAAAAGTATTCCATGACAGAAAAATTTAGGAACAGATTCAGAGTGATGGTTGAACAACATGATGAACATAGTTAATGTCAGACTGTTGAAATGGCAAATGTTTTGTTACATATATATTTACCACAATTAAAAAAAGAAATGAATGGGATTTAGAAAGGAAGAGAACAGGAACAGGGTGTGGTAGACAGAATAATGGATCAAAGATGCCCACAGCCTAATCCCCAGAACCTATCAATATGTTACTTCATGTGGTAAAAGGACTCTACAGATTTAATTAGGGATCTTGAAATGAGAATATAATTGTAGATGATGTGGATGAGTCCAATGTAATCACAAGGAACCTTAATAAGAGGGAGGTAGAAGGATCAGAGTCAACAGTAGGAGATGTGAAAACAGAAGCAAGAGGATGAAGCCAAGCAAGGAAGGGTCCAAGAGCCCAGGAATGTAGGTACCTTCTGTTGTTGTTAGGTGCCATCAAGTGGATTCAGACTCACAGTGATCCTGAAGAGGACTTGAAGCACTTACTGATGAAGATCAAAGACTACAGCCTTCAGTATGGATTACACCTCAACATAATGAATATAAAAATCCTCACAACTGGACCAATAAACAACATCATGATAAATGGAGAAAAGATTGAAGTTGTCAAGGATTTCATTTACTTGGACCCACAATCAATACCTATGGAAGCAGCAGTCAAGAAACCAGACGACGGTCCACAGCTACCAAGGCGTCCACCGGACTGAGTCCAGTACAGCTAGATGGTGCCCGGCTACCACCACTGACTGCTCTGACCAGGATCACAACAGAGGGTTCTGGACAGAGCTGGAG